AAATTTCTGGTGGTTTAAGAGTAAAGAGTAGAATTTAGAAAGAATAAAACAAAAATATATGACAAATCAAAGACTTTTATGGAGTGTCTTCTGACCTTAGATTCTTGATTTAATGGGTAAATATTCTTGCCCCGTGTTTAGGAACATAAAGTTGAAGGACAAAAATAAAGGAGAACTTAAGAGTCCATGGTTTAGAAAGTGATTTGCTAGTTGTCATGAAATCAGTTTAGTGGGTTACAACTAGCGTTTAAGTAATTTATGACAGAATAGGATAGTTATATCTATCAGAGTGTGTATCAGGTTGTTAATGTAAAAATCTACTTTTGGTTATGGTAAGCAAAGTTTGAAAAACTCTAATATCTGTATATGCTTTAAGCATTTCTGTCTGTATTTTAAAGACAGTATCCATTCATTTACTCAGGTATTTGAGAACCCACTGCTTCTTTTTCTCCCTCCCATCTGCCATTCATTGGGTCACCACTATGTGCCAGATACTGTTCTAAAGCCTTTACATGTATTAACTCATTGTTTTCTTCCATTACATGGATGTTATTTTTATCCCAGTTTTTCAAAAGGAGAAGCTAAGGTGCCTAGTGATTATTAACTTGCCTGAAATTGCATAGCTGCTAAGTTGTGAATCTGGGATTCAGTTCAAAACCAGGCAGTCTTTTCTTCAGAGCCCTTTTTTCTAACTACCAAGCTTTAAATAATTACCTATGTAAAGACATCTTTCTCAAGGCACTGTGGTAAGTGCTGGAGGTACATCTGAAATGGTTCTTGAACTCATGGAACTTAGATACTTATAAATATATTTACAATCTTCTATGTTTGTTAAAATATATAAATACATACAGACATACCTAATGTGGGAAAACACTGTATATGGTTAAGTAACCATATATAACTAGCATATTACCATGTTTCACATTTCAATATTATTGACTATAATTTCCATTGTATGGATATGCCATAATTCTTGTGTTGTTGGAATTTCCTAGTCCTTTCTTAGTAAGTAATATTGAATGCATTCATTATTGTCATTTCAGATTACTATGTGAGGCTGTTTATAAAAGCATAAAAATTTCAAGTTACTGGTATCTGTTTCTAATTTTCTAAAGTTTTTTTTAAGATATATTTATTTATTTATTTGACAGAGACACAGCGAGAGAGGGAACACAAGCAGGGGGAGCGGGAGAGGGAGAAGCAGGCCCCCTGCTGAGCAGGGAGCCCAACGCAGGGCTCAGGACGCTGGGATCATGACCTGAGCCGAAGGCAGACGCTTAACGACTGAGCCACCCAGGCGCCCCTAATTTTCTAAAGTTTATGCTTTAGCAGTAGTGCTGATCTACCTTCAGAAGCATTATATGTTAAATATTCAGTAGTTACAAACAAAACAAAATTCAGTAGTCAAAAATGGTGTTCTATGTTAAACTGTCTTCTTTCAAAATCTGTTTTTAATGTTGTCATTGTAGCATGTATAAACCGTTCCTAAATATTTTCTTTCATTCACTCAAATATTCATGTGCCTACTGTGTTTTAGAGCATATCAGGAACTTTCTTCTTTTAGTTGTCAATCGTGTATCCAAAATGGGGTGTATAACGTTTTCACGTACTTAGATCATTGTTGCCTAGTGTGTTCCAGGTTTTTGCCTCTCTCTCTCTCCCTCTCTCCCTGTCCCTCATGAATAAATAAATAAAATCTTTAAAAAAAATAAAAACTTTATCTGGAAGATAAAGACAGCAGCTACCCTCTTGGACATAGCATAGTGAAGGAGGCTGTAACAACTTGCATGGAAACATATTTGTCTCTTTTATAAGAAGTGAAATGTTTTGTAGACAGATGCATAGTCTTTAATACACACTAGTTTTGAAATTAAAAGGTGTGTGGCTGGGCATCAGAATTTCTGATGGGCATTCTTATTATCCACTGAGATATTAATGTTTACAAAATGAGTTATATGGAAGGGTTAATGCTGTTACTGATGAAGATATTTTTTAAAAGACCCCTTAGGTTTTTTATGGTAACAGTTTGACTATTAAATGTAATAATTCCGCAAGACTTTGTTTCAGCAATTTAAAAAACGGTTTCTTTGAGTCATCTAACTTGTTACCAAACAGTGGCATGCATTGTGGATGCATGGTTTCCATTCAAATTTGAAGTTGCTTAGGAGTTTCCTGTCCCTTAATTTGGGGGATTTTTTTTAGTGCTTTTTGTTTCTCTTTTAGTTTAATAATGTTTTGAAGCACTGAAGGAAGCTGCTTTTGTTGTTGTTGTTCTGTTTTATTTTGTTTGTATTTTTAATTAGTGATAACCTGACTGAATGACCTCACCTTCCTCAGCAAATAAATTTCTCTTCCCATGAGGCTAATACTCATAGCAGTTTATGGGACGGGGCCCAATTGGAAAAATGTGGCCGTATACCTTTTTTTTTTTTTTTTTTGAGTAGGCTCCACACCCAACATGGGCTTGAGCTCATGACCCTGAGATCAAGAGTCACAGGCTCTACCGACTGAGCCCACCAGGCCACCCCGGCAGTGTACCCTCTTAAGGAAAATACTTTTCATGCTTATTTTTGTTTGGTCACCTAAAATTTATATTGATAACTGCTGTGATTTTCAAGTCCTCTTTAAAAGATCTCCAAATACATCACTTCATAAAAATACTAGATGTCATTGTAGGAATCAAATGGAGTTTCTGATTTTAGTGATTATATGTTATTCTAATTTTTAGTGGCTTTACTAAATGTTTATACAGTCTTGTTTTACAAATTCATTTACATACATTGACTAGATTTTGAGTGAGACACATTTGTAAAATTTAATTATTGTTATATCAGCCAGGTTGAAAAACAAACATAATTGTTGGACTTGATTTCTTCTGGAAGATAGATTGGTATAGCAGATTACTTCAATCTCTCTGAGCCTCGATGTCCTCGCTGTAAAAGGAGGCAGGCACCCTGTCAGGCTTAGGAGTGGTAGATCAGGATGAAATAACATGAAATGCTCAGCACAGTTTATGGCATAGTGTCAATAAGTGTTAGCCTCAGTACCACCCCTTTCCCCAACAGTATTCTGTGACAAAATTGCAGTACAAAAGTGCTGATGCGGGGCGCCTGGGTGGCTCAGTCGTTGAGTGTCTGCCTTCGGCTCAGGTCATGATCCCAGGGTCCTGGGATGGAGCCCCGCATCGAGCCCCCTGCTCGGCGGGAAGCCTGCTTCTCCCTCTCCCACTCCCCCTGCTTGTGTTCCTTCTCTCGCTTTGTCTCTCTGTGTCAAATAAATAAATAAAATCTTTTTTTTTAAAAAGTGCTGATGTTCTGGCTAGAAGATCTAGGTTTAAGTCCTAGTTCTTTTACTGCATGCTTTCTTGGATCAGTCACTTGACCATAGAGTGTTTGTTTTCTCTTCTATAAAATGAGGTTCTGAAAATTAAATGATGTAATGAGCAAGTGCTTCAGATCTAGGCTTTTTTCTTTATTATCTAGCCTATTTATTATAACTTGCTTTATTTCCCAATAGTTGACCTAAATTTTTTTGTGCAAGGGGGAGGAGCTGTACTTCAGAACATTAACCCAGTAGTTGGGTGGAGGACGCATTTATTTGGAGGAGCAGAGTAAAGGAGGCAATGCCAGTGTCTTTCCAGGTAGTTGTAGCACATACAGACCCAGTGAGAGGCTTCAAGCTGAAGTGGGAAGGGCCGGGGTTTGCACTGAGTGGTAAAACAATCAGTTTAAAAAAGATAGCTGTGGCTGTAGTGATTTCACTGGACCAGGTCTCTCGATGCTGTTTTTCATTAGTTTCTTTCCACCTCTTCTAGTAGAGTTCTTTCCTATATGCGATCCTGCCACTATTATCAGCTTTCTGAAGAGTGACCTACATTTTGTAATCTGCATTCCCCACAACCTGCAATGAATCTAAATCTCAGAAATGTAATTTCTGACACTGGACTATAAAAGGTTTTCATCAAACAGGAAATGGTTCCACTTTCTCCTTAGGACATACTTTTTAGCTCTAGCTGGGAAATTTGTCATTTTCCATTTCTTGCCTGTTAACTTGACACAAGCTGTTCCACAGGCCCAGAGTATAACAGACCTCTCCCAGTGACTTTTTTTTCCCCTTTGGAAGACCTTTTTATGGCTTGCTTTTATTAAAAATTTCCTGATCAGTCATCCTAAGGTAATTTTAATTGCTTTATGACAAATGTATGTGATAGTTGATATCAATACGATATTGATAATTTAGTTTTACTTTCTTTGTGTAGCTTGAGTATTCCTTCTGTAACTATTATAGAGTGCCCAACTTCAGGCAAAAGTAGAGTGAATTCTTAGATTTAAAATGTGACATACAAACGTCTTATCCTATTATTTTAATAATTAAATGTTTTAAATGTTCTTATATAACAAAGGTGGGTTGGAGTGAGGAGGAAAGGGGGACAGACAACCTGCCAAGGCAGTCACAGAGCCCCGGTACAACTTGATTGTTAGCCATTATTGTTCATTGATATGTGCGTACTCTTAATGGAAGTAAGCTTCAAACACGGGAGCTCTATGGAATTTCAATTTAATGACTTCCATGGAATTTAAAATGATTCCATGATTAAAATGGGGCAGGGCCCTCTGCTGTGTTTATTAATGAGTTCCCTTTTGTACAGGGGTGTGGGTGATTTCCAGCTCTCATGCAACACAGAATACAATAGGTGGTCAGTCAGAGGCACCTGCCAAGTGTTCAGACCTGTCTTTTAGGTTCTTTTCATTTCTTCAGAAGAACTGAAGAATCTGTTGGGGCAAAGAGATTTGTGGGGTTTTGATGGATCGCCATAAAGCAAAAGCTGTCACTCTGACCGCTAAGCATGTACCCCTCATTCATCTGAGGGTTCACATTAAAAGTGACCGGGTGACGTAGTAGCAGCAGCCTCTCTGGTTTTCTTAGTCATGGCAGCAGTTAACAGTGCACGTAACACACCAACACTCAAGTCCTTATTTTTTGTTTTTGTTTTTAAGTCATTGAAATTATGAGACTATCATTCAGATGGAAGCATTGTAGTTCTTCGGAACCATTATGATCTCAAAAGGAAAGGAGAATGATACAGATACACTGGCTGAGGTGTTTTGAGGTGCATCGAAGTGTTCCAAGCTGTGACTTACCTTAACATGTTCTTGAAGTACCATGGCGTGGATTAAAAGGTATGCTTTAGAAATCTCCCAGTGACCCCAGGGTCATGGATAGAATGAACGCTCATGATTCTGTATTTAATTATCACAATTAAATTTTTAAGAGATTTTAATATTTAGATTGTAGATGTGGTATGGATTTATGGTAATAGTACTTTTTCTTTTGTTAAAAAAACCCCATATATCATAAGCTTGATGAGCGATTTCTCCCTCCCTTCCTCCCCCCACTCCCGTTGAGATATGGTTATAGAAGACACTGAGGTAGATATTTTCCCTGGATTTTAATAGTAATGGGCTGTAATTTCTTTCACCAGATAGTTTAGGTATTAGTCATGTACTGGTCTGTAATTAGCTTTGTGGTTTACATCATAGACTAGTTTCTTTGCAGTGCTGTCATTTCGTGGCCTGAGTAGGAAATAGATAAATGCTTTAGTTGGAGCCTTAATTTGACCAAATAAAATAATTCTTATGTGGACCATAAGAATTATAGGGTTCGTGCTCGTTCGTGCTCGTTTTTGTCTTTTACAAAGAATTTTTCCTGAGAGGAAAATGCATGGCTCCTTATTAACAGTGATTGTTGTTGCTTCACTAATTGTATGTATGTAATTAATCATTTATGTGTTTGTGGTATGTAGTCCCCCTATTATTTGTGGTTGCTAATAGTGGTAATTCTAGGTTTCATGTTACCACTTAACTGTCAAAAATTAAGGTTTTTATGTTCATACATTTTATTTGACTTATGTAGTCAAATTATTTGGAAACCTCCTAATTTTGTACTGTGTACTTGCTACTAAATGTTTTCCTATGGATGGTGGAAGTGAATGAACCCAGGAAGAATGCAGAGTTTATTAATGTTACATTAGGTTCAGAATTCTTTATCTTTTAGGTAATAAAAATATGTTGGGAAGGTAATGGTTTAAATCATGGATAGATAAATTTAATAGAAATACACTAGTGCAGTCTGTAATTTTTATCGTTTTGGCTATCTTAACGTTAAGATCCCTTTGTACATCAGCAGTTAAATTCTAAATGAAATTTAGTTATTAAACCTGAGACAAAACTGCTTTATATTAAATTCCAATCTATAATGACAGCGATCTAATCAAGTTTCTAGGTAAAGTAGGCTGCTTATTAACCAAGGCAATCATTCACTTCAACCAGGTATTTTATGTCTGATGGCACACAGTAGTGTCTACTCTCCAAAAAAAGATCTTTTCTGACATAATGGGTTGGAGATAATATTCGATACATTGTTTACAAAATGTAATTCTCTATAATATTTGCTACTTTAACTTAAAAAATCTTTTTTGGGGGGTAGCACTTGGGAATCTGTTTTGTTTTGTTTTAACTCCACTGAGGATTCTTGATGTACAGCCAGGGTTGAGAACTCATGTGGGGAAGAGTTCATAGAATTTATAACTTAGTGGTTAAGAGCTTAGACTTGGGGGCCAGCTGACCTGTGTTTCAGATCTAACACTTAATTTTATTATTTTGGCAGGTTGTAAAAATGATCTGGAAAAAAAGTTTAAATTTGTATCTTAAAAATATAGTAACATAAGTATATACATACATAATTTATGTTAATGCATTTTATATGTGTGTATATAAAATACATATATGTGTCTCTGTATAAATATCAATAAATTAAACACACAGTGCTGGGTAGGAAGCCAGTGTTAGACTAACAGTGGTGATGATTATTAAATATCCGATCAGGAACCTGGTTTTTTTGGGGGGGGGTGGAGAAGGGGGGGTGCTATTACATTTTTTTCTTACCTTGAGTCTTACACATTCTCATATGATCTTCCTAGAGCTAAATAAACAATCAGTATTTGATGTTTTCAGTTCTTTGGGCTTTTTCTCATCAGTTAAAGGTGGCCGCTAGAGACCTGTAATTTCTCTATGGTCCTCTTACCCTGCTAGGTTGATTTGTGTGTCTCTAAAGCTATGTTTTTCAAATTGCAGGTTTCAGCCCACTCATTAGTGGGTCAAGAAATCGATTTAGTGGGTTATGACCAGCATTAAGACAACATATTAGAATAGAAAATAAAATACCAGGTGCACTGAATGGAGAAAAGAGTATTTTAAAAAATACTTTTGTTTCAAGTTTTAATTTTTTTTAAAGATTTTATTTATTTATTCATGAGAGACGGGGAGAGAGAGAGAGAGAGAGGCAGAGGCAAAGGGAGAAGCAGACTCCCTGCTGAGCAGGGAGCCCAATGCGGGACTCAATCCCTGAGCCGAAAGCAGACGCTTAACCGTCTGAGCCACCCAGGCACCCTGTTTCAAGTTTTTAAAATGCAGAAATAAACAAAATATATACCCATTTATGTGTATGTTGATTGGATTGTTTTAGTACCACTAAGTATATGCCTACCATAGTCACAGATGTCCCTCACAGGTGCTGTTAGTTCTGTCTTTTTTTGCCTTGCTAAGAAGTGACCAGGATAGGTTCCACTTTGTGGCTTGTAATGGTACGCCATGCTCTATATCACCTTCAAGGATCACCCTACCATCCTTTTCGTTTGAAGTGAAGGTTATTACCGGAGAGTATCTAAGGAGTAGAGGAGAATAGGAGAACGTAATAACAGCTTTTGAGTGGCATTAAACAAGGCTGTTTTATCAAGTAGTGTTCTAGTATACTGCCCTGTGGCATACATCCTGTGTTTATCATCTATAGATCCGTGTCTTCAAACTGCCAGTGGCAGCCCATTCTGGAGTCAAATTTAGTAAGTTGTTGCCTTTCTCCCCTAATTAAATGAAACAGAAAAGAACGGAATAGCAAATGTCATGATTATATCCCACAATATGGTTTTATAAACCTTTTGTTTCAGGAGCATGTATATGTGCTGAATTGCAGAGACCCAAGTTCTGGTAAGGATCATCTGAGAAACAATATGAAACTCAGTCTTATATATCGAGGTTGCCAAACTGACCTCAGTCAGAAAAGACTTCAGATATCTAAAGCAGGATTGTCAGCCCAGTAGTCTTACCTCTCTGATGGTAGGTTATAATTAATTAGACGTGAGACCTTGTTTTTGTTTCTTGTTGTGTTGTTGGCTCCCTAGCTTGCTTGCCCTGGTAAATATTTATAAAGGCTCATTGGTAAGAAATTTAAAATATTTCCTAGTTGAGGAGGAATTTACTCTTACACTACATTGATGAAAGTGACCCATTCAATTAAAAAAAAAAAACCAAATCTGATAATATATACTAAAACTCACCCAGTTCATTTTCCTACTTCTTACGTGTTAAGACTTTTTCATGTAATAGGTGCTTCTTTAATTCAGAAGGTAGATAAAAATTTAATGTTGCAAAAAGATTAAGCATAAATCAGATATATGACAATATTTTGGGTGGTTAAATGTTAGCGCTTTTAATTTTTTTGGAATTAGTGCCTGTGCCTACCACAATGTCCTCATAACAGGCAGGTATTTGTTTTACAGATTTGTTGAAGATGATCACAGAGTTTCTGGTGAATATTTTAAAATAAATAAAGCTTCACAGTAGGACAATATCAGCATATGTATTTTAGATTGCGTCTAAAATACAGTTTCTTCTGGTAAATTGTTTCATAGCAATGGAATTTGGATATTAGTTTTCTACACTTGGGAGTTGAAAAATGGAAGAAATCTTTGCCAGAATAGGAGGCCAAAAGATGATAAGCACAATTCATCTTTCTCTGCAAGTTCTTGGAATTTGAGTCAAACATACATAGTTCCTGCTCTGAATTGGGTATGATATACTAAACTTAGAAATCATGTTTTGAAATTACAGAAGATAAAGTAATAACCACCACTCCCCCCAACCACTGGATTAAGTTCCCCGATGATGGTTGCTTGTCTTTGCACTAGTAGGTACAGGCATATGTTGCTTGTGGTGAAGATAGAAAACAAGAGCCTGTGGATTCTATTACTTTGTTTCCCCAAAACCTCCCAGCCTCCACCTGACCTTGCCTTCTCCCAGACTCTCCAATTCTTCCTCCCCTTATCAACAGCATTCCTTGGCTTTTCATCACTATTTTAGTCCTGTTACTACGACCTCATCACTTGCTACCTCATGCTGCTTGTCCTGTTGAGAGTGCAAGGTTTCATGTTGTCACTTTGTGGCATCTGTTCTTCAAAACTGTGTTCCTTTACTTGAGTTACCATCATGCGTGAGAAGGAGAGCAACTTGTATTCTTTTTCTTTGGTAGATTTTTCTTCCTAAAGTGTAGTTTAGAAAGAAACTAAACTATGTTCTAGTTTAGTTGGCCTAAAACGGAGATCAGTGGCCACAGATGGCACTCCAACCACATACCTAGGAGTAGAAGAAAGAACATAGCATAAATTACAATGTTAATTATTAGATATGGTTCCCGTATACTTTTGGTTACTAAAAACAAACTTAAAACGCTCGAGGAATGAAGATGAGCTGCTTTGAGAGATTTTAAAGAGATGTTTTTGATTCTGAAAATAACAAAGTTTTAAAAATCTTTTGTATAAGTGGTAGCATGGTTAGCACTGGGTACTTTCTCAAGCTAATTTATATTTCATTACTTTGAAAAACAGTGCTATTTTGCATGTGTCTGGGATATGGGATATCTTATTAAAAGAATACTTTAGAATCCCGTCTCAAGCATGAACCTAATTGAAAAGTGGAATATGCTGTACCAGTAATTGTTATGAAAATCAGGGACTACCTTCCTTTTTAAAAACACAACAAAGTCAGTTTATCTTGTAATATATATATTTTTAAAGATTTATTTAATTTAGGTTTGGGGGAGGAGAGTGCGCGCAGGAGCCGGGGGAGGGGGAGGGGAGAGGGAGAGAATCTTAAGCAGACTCTGCACTGAGCACAGAGCCTGACATGGGGTTCGATCTTGCCACGCTGGGACCATGACCTGAGCAGAAATCAGGAGTCAGAGGCTTAACCGACTGAGCCACGCAGGTGCTCCTATCTTGTAATATTGAACTGGTAGGTGATTATGAGGAGAATATTCTGTAGGTGAGCCAGAAAATGTGTACACATGC